AGTGGGGCGCCCGCCGCCCATCCGCGCGGGGGATCGGAGGCCTGGCCGCCCCACCCGCGCGTCCTCCGAGCCCCTCGCCGCGCTGCTTCCCGAGGGCCCGGGGAGCGAGGTCCTGATGCGCCCCCAGAACTTGTTCTGGGCCCGGGTGCAGGGCGAGGCCCTCACAACCCAGCCCTGGTGTTGGTTCCAGACTCCACCGCCTCGTCGCTGTGAGGTCTGGACAAGGACCCACCCTCTCAGACCCTGAGTTTTCTCACCTGCATAGTGAGGGCAGTGATTCCGTTATCTGATTCCGTTAGAGGGCTCCTGGGAGGGAGGCCATGGGCTGCAGCCCCCTGCACAGGACCGGGGTGGGACACTCAGGAGTGAGCATCTGCTCGTTCGTCGGGGACCCCGAGGTCCTGGCTGACGGGGACAGGCCTGCGCACCCACTTCCCGCCGTCAGGCCTAGAGCCCCGTTAAGACCTGCCTTAGAAGACACCCTCTCTTAGGGCTCCATCGTCTCACTGAAATAATGAGTTTCCTGAATGTCAGATTCAACTCCTGTCACCTCGAAGGACCCAAATACATTCCAAAGCCAAACAGAAAATTATTTTTGGGTTATATGTGGCCTGGGATTCTTCAGGGCTTGGAGCTATCTGGCAGCGATGTCTTAGTCACTCTGGGGGCACGTCTGGGTCTGGCCCTTCCTCGTTACCCCAGAGGCCCTGGCAGATGTCCTGGCAGACTGAGCATACGCACCTCCTTACACACACCTCCTGGGCCCCGAGGCCCCGGGGTGGGGAGTGGATGCTGAACTGGTGGAAGGTGGGCAGGGACGGGGAGGAGAGGGTGGGCACTGGACAGACGGTGCCCAGAGCCCTTCTGCATGCGGCAGTCCTCCCTGCCCTGGGTCCCAGGGAAAGGGCAGGCTGGGATGTGGGGAGCACGGGGGAGGGTTGGGGATCGTAAGTGACTTCCCTCTCTCCCCGCAGCTGCTGATGGAGACAGTGGGCTCTGACATCCGCAGCTGCCCCCTCTGCCAGCTGGGTTTCCCTGTCGGGTATCCGGATGACGCCCTCATCAAACACATTGACTCCCACCTGGAGAACAGCAAGATCTAGGGTGCCTCCCCCAACCACTGGCTGTTTCCCTGCCCTCTCCCGTCACCCCCAAGCACTCACTTTGAATGCTGCATGAATCTTGTGGGGGGCCCCTGCCCCTTGCGACCCCCAGATACCTCCACTAGCTACCGAGTCAACGTGTGTGCCATCTTCCCTGGTCCAGGCGCCACTCAGCCCTGGCTCTTCCCAGGAGGTCAGTCAAGGCTCTCCCCAGCTCCCTGGCTTCCAAGGGGAGATGGGGATCCGGGCTGGGACAGGGAGGGGGGACCCTGCCCCGCCTCTCCCTCTGCCTTTCTGTTCTCAAACACAGTTGGGTCCCAGGAGATGGCTAGTGGTTGGGCCTGGGGGAGAGGGAGGGTATCAAAGGACTCCAGGAGCTCCCTCAGCCCCTCCCCAGACATCCATCTTTCTCAGGCCATGCTCTGCCCGAGGAGCACAGCCTGAGTGGGGTTCCAGAGCCTGCCCTGCGCACTGACACCAGTTCCTCCATCCCATGGCCAGCTCAGGGCAGGTGGCCTGGGCCCCTATTGGGGGAAGGAGACACTTTGATTCTTGCCACTCTCTGCAGGCCAGTCCTGTTCTCCCCCTCTGCCCACCCTGGGGAGCAGGGAGGGTGGGAGAGGAGAGGGAGGACCCTGAAGGACTGGAAGGATCCAGCCTAAAGAGGCTGCCCTGTGGGCCAGGGGTCCCTGCACCATGACCCTCAGGCCAGGGGACTGTCTGTGCCAGCCTTCGAGGCCCGTGCGCTCCCCCTGGAGCCCCCAGCACCGAGGCACAGATGCTTGTGACAGCTGCTCCCCTCCCCTCTTACCCAACTCGAGCCCTGGCACCACAGGTACCCAGGATCCCATGTGTGACTCAGGCTCTGTTAGCTGGGTGGGTGTCATCAGCCCTGCCTCCCAAGCCAGAACCTGAGGATGGGCCCAGGGTGCTGTGGAGATCAAATTCAAAAGAGCTAACCCCTTTCCCACACCCCAGTGACCCACATTCCCTCTGTGAAATCTACCTCAGAGTCGTACCCTCAGAAGGACGGGTAAGCAGGAGGCCAGGGGGTCCCAGGGCTGAGGTGGGGAGCTTCCTACAGCAAGAGCCTGCCACCCACGATGAATCCACCCCCCGCTGCCAGCCTCGCCTGGGTCTCAGCCCCAGGCCCATGGCAGCGGACGCTACTGTCAGTGCATGTACCATTTTGATCCAACTCTTCCAGGCCCCTCCCTCCTCACACGTCTCCCCTCCCTCTCAGCGTGGGGGAGTGAAGGGGTGTGTCAGGCGGGAAAGGGGCCAAGGACTCCAGAGATGGCATTGTACCTTGAGTGTTCCTCCAGGGAGGGGAAGTGGGGACGGGGAATGCAGAGGGGAGGTGGGGGCCCCCCGAGCCCTCTGAACAAGTTGAAAGTCCAAATAAAACTTACCTGTTCCATCTGCGCTCAGTCTGTGCCCTCCATGGCAGGGGTGGGGAGGGACCCAGAGGTCTTGGAAACAGTATCTCACAAACACACCACCATGGAGAGTGGTCATTGGGCAGGCAGGGGATGAGAGAGCACCCATGTCTCAAGGTGGTTCTGGAGGGGTAAGCATGCGAGTGGCCGTAGATGACTTGTGATGAGCTTACTGAGGACAGATCTGGGGTAGCAGAGGGTGTCTTCGTGACAGAGCAGCCACCCCAGCCCTGACAGGTGTCGGGGACTCTTGAATTTCCCTGCCCCGAAGGTCTGGCAGGTGGAGGTCTGCAGCCCTCCCTGAGGGCTCATGTATTCGTAGCAGCTACTTCTTCATCAAATGGTTTCTGCCTTCCAGGAACCAGACTGGGGCCTCAAAGAGGAAGAACATCCGTGTTCCATGTCCTCATGAGTCTGAGAGCAGGGGAAGGGCTGGGCTCCGGGCTGAGAGCTGCTTCAGAAGTCGCACAGCCCCGGAGGTCAGAGCCAGGTCACAAACCCTTGACTCCTGCCCCCGCCAGGGCCGCCTTTTGTTTGCACAAAGGGCCTGAGGTTCTTATGCATCAACTCGGGGTGCCTTTCATTTCCACGGGATCCTTTCACCCTTAAAAACAAGAGGTGGGGGCAATTGCTAATTGAAGGCCCGAGGTGCAGCTCTAGACCCAGGACGAACAATCTTCCCCACTTAGTGTCAAGGTCCAGATCCCCAGGGGACTGCCCAGCCCCACTTGCTCCTCTAAAAGCTCATCCAGCCTTGATTTCATCTGCAGTCACGTGCTGAGGGACAGGAGAGGTGAGAACAGTGATCCCTATGGAACATGGCTTCACAAGTCGTGGGAGAGAAGGTTCTGGAACTTCTGGCACATGGAGGCTCAGTGCCCCTTGGTACTCCCCCATCTCAACTCCCGTGCCCAGGTTTGGGGTCTGGGTCCTGTTCTTTGGAAGCATTTGCTGGAAGGGCGTGGATGAATTAGGGGTGGCACGGGAACACTGGGCAGAGAGAAATCCTGGCCATTGAGAAAGGAGTCGAAGGATGAGCTGGAATGAGCTGCTGGCAGGGGCACATCTGAAGGTTGGGAGGGTGTGGAGAGCGGCTACAGCGTTTGGACAGGTTCAAGCCTCGGACTAATGAAAGGGCACGGTCCTCTCGTGACAGAGCCACGTGCAAGTCCCAGCACAATGACAGCCAAAGGCTATGGTTGTGAGCTCGACCTTATGGTCTGAACCTGTGGTCCCACGTGGCTGAGTGATAAGGGCTGCGGGAGGTGCAGCAAGGAAACAAAGCTTGATCAGGTGCCTGTAATTGAGTAGATTCGAAACCCAGGAGAGCGTGGTAAACATCTTGACCAAGCCCTTACTTTGCCGCGTGGAATCTGCTATAAAATAAAGACTCGGCTTGCAGGCCGTGGTTCTGTCTCTCCATCAGAGGAGCAGTGTCCCACGTAGCCCCAGCTTTCACCGCTCCCCCCATCAGGTTCGCCCATGGCCATGCCGGCTCAGCACAGGAGGGAACCTAGGGTTTCCTGCAACCTGGCCATTCCGCCCCATCATGTCATCAGGTGAGAGAGCGTGAGGACAGAGGTGCAGGTTGTCTCCTGGATTTCTGAGGACCTGGGAAAGGGCTCAGGTGCGGGGCAGAAAGCTGCTGGGGGCTGGGAGGGAAGGTGGGGAAATATGCCCCAGCCGAGGTCCTCCAGACCACAGCCTTCTGTTGAATGCCCCCTCCCCCACCGAAGGAGAGGCTGTGGGGTTGAGGGGGCTGGAAGAGGGGCTGAGGAGTCCTGCCAACACACCCCTCCCTTCCCAAGCAGGATGTCCTCAGCTATAAGGCGCTGGCTCCTCGTTTCTCTAGGAGTGATGTGGGGGGCACTAAGGCCTGAGTGTGGGGGTGAAAGGGTCTAGATCTCTAGGCTCCTGGAAAGGTAAGAGGATGGGACAACCTTCACAGGAGCAGAGCAAAGTGGCTGGAAGAACCCTGCTGAGGCAGATACACCTATCCCCCCAGGATTTCCTCAGCCAGGGCTACCATGGAGACCCCCGCCCCACTCCTGGTTCCTGTGCCAGGGAATCAGCTGAGAGGAGCAACACTTCGGCAGAAGCAGCGGTGGTGGTGGTGGTGGTGGTGGTGCTGGTGTGTGTCTGTCGGGAGAGAAGCTGATAGCTAACAAAAGGGAGAGGCGTGTGGGTGAGTCAGCGTGTTAATGAGAAACGCCTCACCCCGCTGATTAGGACTAATGAAGAAGAACAGAGGGGGTGGGGGGTTCACGCAGCGACATCTCTAAAGGGTGGGGGGAACGGAACAGCTCCCCTGGTCCCATCTCTCCCTCAGCAAGGACAAGAACAGAGCAACTCTGGCTAGCGCAGGAAGAACTGAGGTCTCACATGGGCGTGACCCCGAGGGCAAGGGGTCCTACCTGGGAAGCGGTGGCTGAGGTGTCTGGGGCAGAGGCCAGATAATGGGAGGAGAGCATGTGGTGTGAGATCCTCTAGCACCTGCCCCTCTCCCTGCCCTTCCCTGACTTCTCCGTGTTAACGCTAGGGAACCGCTTGGCGCTCAGAGCGGTGCCCCCTGGCTGCCCAGGTGCCTCTAGAGATCGCACAGGTGCTGCAGGGGCCGGGCAGGTATTGCGAGAAAGCTCCAGTGTGTGTCCTTCAATGGGCAGCCTCGGCGAGAAGGCCCCGCGTGGGGGCATTGACTGTCTAGATATCAGTACCCCAGGGAGGCCTGGCAGGGTGGAGAGCAGGAGGGGACGGGGGGAGGGGAGGACCTGGGCATCAGCTGGAGGCCCTCTTGGTCCTTGTGATGTCAACCCCTGTTCCTGTGGCAGAAGCAGAAACCCTGAGAACGAGCAGCTACACCCACCCTCCATGCCAGTTCAGCCACGGGCAAGGGCACCAGGCGTGCCTCGCAGATGTTCCAGTCGACTGTGTGAGTGTGGGCACTGGGGGCGGGCCTGGGAGGGGGACAGGATGGGTGTCGGCCAGCACCTCTGACACCTCCTCATTTGCATTACCACTGACACCCTTCTTGACCAAGTAAATGGAGCCAGAAATAACAAAGGGGGAGGTGGTTCCCTGGGGTGAGGGGGGGGGCTTTGAGACTGCCTTTCCTTGCCTCCAACACTCACACGGGTGCCGGGGTCAGGAGGTCAGGCCTTTTGCAGCCCCACAGCTGCCTCCTGGCAGGGGAAATGCACCCACTGTGGCTCCTCCCTCCTCAGATTGGGCAGACACCCCATCTCGGCCTCCCACATCCCTAAGCCCCAGACACCCCAGTGCTGCCCCTTTCCTTCTTCAGAGCCGGCTCCACACACCCGTCCCTGGGGCCCCTCTCCTAGGCAGGATGTGGGACCCCAGCCCTGTGTCCTGCTCCACTGTCCGATTGGGCATTTCCCAGGCGGGGCCCTAACTGCCCCTACCCACCTGGGTCCAGTGTGGGGCCTCGGGCCCTCGGATGGGGTGGGAGGGAGAGGGGACTCCCAGCTCCGTTAGAGGCTCTGGTGCAGCTTCCCTCCGAGGTAGGGCCCAGGTGTCCCCCGCCCCGTGACTACAACATAGGCACCCAAACACATGTGGCGCTCATTTGTGTGCGATGGGTTTACTTCTGCACCAAAGGGAGTAGGGAATGATGACCGCTCACCCACGGCTTGGTGGACGTCGGAGACGGCAGGCATGGAGGGTCGAGAGAGGGAGGCTCGCTCTCTGCCAGAGGGTCTTGGGACCTGGCGGATCACGGTGGTGAGGGTGGAGGCAGGGCAGAAGGGCCTGGCAGGGAAACCAGGTCGAGAGAGACAGCCAGAGGGCTGTGAACACACCGTGGGAAGGAGCGAATGATGAGCTGAGAACTTCCTCCACTTCCCCCTCCAGAGATGCTATTTTGGAGAGAGAGAATATATGCAGTGCAGGGTGCAGGGTGAGGGGAGCATGCCACTTCCACCGGGTCAGCCGGACCACCTGCTGCCTCCGCTCTGCCTGGCAGCATCTTCACCAGCCCTGGCACCTCCCACCACGGCACTCCCTCCCCGTTGGGAAGTCTCGCTCTCCTGAGCACAAGAGAAAGAAGGAAACTTGCAGCTGGCCTCTTGGCACCCCCTTGAGGGCCCTCTGGGGCCTCAGACCTGGGGAGAAGCTCCTGTTTCCATTACTTCCGTGGAATAAAAGTGTGGAGTGTCCTAGGGGCACGGGGTGAGGCAGGCACCAGGCACACCTCAGCGGGCGGGAGCACTCCATGCCCCCAACTCCATACCCAGGCACTCTGCATGGATTCCCCTTTAGCATCAACCTTCGAGGGGGGCGGCAGGGGGTGGGGGGATTTGGTGTTAAAAGAGGCCAGGGCAGAAGGTGCGTCCAGGGCGAGGTGGTTGGCTCACAGGAGGTTCCACCCCTCCCCTTGGGGAAGCCGATCTTGGGGCCACAGGGGTTGGACAGAGGTCAGTAAGAAGCCGAGCCGGAGGGGCCCTGACTCATTTGGGGACGAAGGCTCCAATGCCCTGAGGGTTTCTGTGGTGGCTGGGGGCAGGGAGGACAGGGCGGGTAGAAGAGCTCTGGGGATGAGTGGAGGCTTTTGTTTTCGTTTTTGGAACTTGCCTCTCTCTCTGCTGGAGTCCAGCTCCACCTGAAGGAGCAGGGCTGGCTGAGATGGGCAGAGGCCCAGCTTCTGGCCGGGGAGGGGCTGGGACGGCCACAGTCAAAGGAACAAGAGGTTCGACTTCAGGAAGAGCTTCAGGTGAAGACGCGGGCGCCTGTCTGAGCTGGACCCAGGCAGTGGCTCCCCTGGATGTTTCCGGCCGTAGACCCTCCCTCCCAGGCTGGGGAGCTCAGGCCGGCATTGGGGCAGTGCAGGCCCAGGGCAGAGAGCTGAGCAGAGTGCCCCAGCTGCAGGTGGTGGGCACCTGAAAGCTCAAGGGAGGGGGAGGGTTCAGGCCCCAGAAGACACGTCCCCAAGCCAGACCCTGGGAAAGGGATTTGAGTCCATGACCAGAGGT